GTAGAATGGAGTTCCATCTCAAGACGTTGGCTCGTAAAGCAAAGTGCTGTGACTCTGGGTAAATGTAAATGCATGCTGTTAACAATGTCACCGACCTTCTGCTTCCATATTGATCTGGTCAAGAGTGAATTGGTACACCAAACGATTCATACAGATTAGTAGTTCAGTTTTCACTTGTTGAACTTGATTTTTGTTCTCCTTTAGTGTTGCTTGTTTTAGTTTTGCCAATACCGTCTGTGCAGAAATACAGATACATTCCAAAGTGATATCAAGTGATATCTGCAAGTGACATACAGAGACTTTTGAGTCTGGTGCAAATACCAATGCATCCTATCTTGTGACAGTTACGCAGCAGTGTTAGAGTTCTGACCTTGTGTTGAATGACGAAGTGACAGACTATTAATGGAGATGGTATCAGCAAAGGGTATTGGAGTGACAGATTAAACAGCTCAATTAAGGAATCAGCCATCACTCACTATAATTCACTGGCAACTTTAATTAAAGCATTTTGATCTCTTGTTAGCACATTATTATTATCTCAACATATGTCAAATACGCATCACAGCAGATACTGTACTGTGAAATGTAAATTACATGAATACACTTAGTGGAACATCAGACATAGGAAAAAACTTCATTTTAAACTAAATTATCGGACCATAATTCAATACAATCAAAACCAATGAGTAAGAACTTACTTTAATAGTTACAACTTGCAAAAAAAAACTTCAATAATCTCTTGATCTCCTGCTGTCATATATTAAGGGGCATATTGCATTGACATAGTCTTTTACCTGGCATGCCATATTTTTCTCAGTACTCACCATTGTTATACAATAAATACACCTCCTAATTTATGAGTCAACTATGCCCATATGTATATGGGAATATAAAAATAAGATAATCATCTGCACTGTTACTGGGGAACTAGGGCAGGCAGTTGATCAAATCATATAGTCAGTTTAACCTGTTATTTTCATCAAAATACAGTGAGAATTTGTTATTCTAGCTGTGCTGAGGTTTACTTATAGCAATTGTATCACTTTTCTTGTGTTTTGAAGCATTGGGGGAAAAAATGCCTGCTGAAACTTGGATATTAAGGAAGAGCTCTCCAATTCCACTGAGAATTAAAGGGGAAGAGGATGATTGGTTGACCCACAAGAGCTCACATATAACACCAGATATCCTCAATCAAGCCTAATTGTTCACAATTGAAGTACACAACATACAAATTGTTGGATGTTGAACAACTGAGATGAATGCAATTATATTTTTGACTGCAAATCGAGAAAAATTAATTAGGAACAAAATTTCACCTCAATGAAAATTTGTTCTCTGATCATCTCTTTCCACTTTGTTAACTAGTATCTGTTGCAAAATAACTTTACTGTTGTAATCAAAAACAGTTCTACATAGATCTTTAATTATGAAAATGGCCTGGGTTGACTTGCCCTCTGACATTTCCTTTCCTGTTGGAAAGTGATTGGCCTCGATTTTCCTTCTGCTCAACCTATCCCCAAAGGCAGACTGGAAATCAGGAATCCGTGTGTGAGGGGGGTTTCACCTGTTTACTACAGAGGTACTCCTGTTATTAGTGCCTTTCCTGACTTACAAATCTTCCTGCTCCCTGCCCTCTAAAAGGCCTTTAACCAATTCCACATTGTGATGTTCAGTCTGTATCATTCACTAGCTCCGATTGTGAAAAGCTACATGGGATCACAGTAGAATTCATTAATTTCGTTCCAATTAAGATTTTTTTCTCTCAAAGTTAAAATATTCATGATTTTCTCCATTTGCTTTTCCATAATTCCTCTGTTACATTGTAACAGACTTCATGATCCAGAGGGGAATGTTGAATAACTTATCCCTCCTTCCACGTGGAAAAGTCTTTGCCATTCCAGCATTATATTGTTGATTTTGACTGACTGGTCCATTCTTCTGGTTGCCTCCCAATAGCTTGGAAGTTCAAGGATCTAATGGTTTTCTACAATACTGTAATCCAGTGAGAGTGAATGAGCAGGCCATGTTAACATCACAATATTTACCCTTATTGATTTCTGACAAATTTCAAATATACGCATCTTCCCATGGACAAATCTGCAGTCTTTTTTTTCAATAATTGATTTAACAGAAGCTGAGCTCATTTAGGATTTAAAACAGCACTGTACTGGATGTACTGTATTTTAATTAGGAGTGGAGTCAGTCATTGATTTCAGCATGGAAATATAGACAAAGTTGAACCAGAAATGGTGATCTTCCCTTTCTTTTGTGAAGAGCCATGAGTGACTTTCTATGTAAAAGTCTCTTTACAAATACAAGCATGATGTGGAGGTGCTGGTGTAGGGCTGGGGTGGACAAGGTCAGAAGTCACACAACACCAGGTTATAGTTCAACAGGTTTATTTGAAATCACAAGCTTTCGGAGCGCAGCCCCTTTATCAGGTGAAGTAGTTGTTGTATTTAACTACTAATCCGCTAACGAATTGCAGAATACAAGCTAAAACTTAATATTCACGTTTTGAAATTATGCCAGATTTGCAGTATTCAAGGCAACAATATTTAACCTCTTAAAGATATATAATTATTATTTGAATGTGCAAAGTGAAGAAATCTTGACATTTCTGGCGAGACTGTAGCAAGGGCTTCAAACAGAAGTGTGGAACAGGCTTTTTATTTAGCAGTCATTCAAGCTACCAGGCAGTTATAGTACCTCAGGTGTATGTGTTTGGGGTTGGGGGAATGCAGAGGTAGTCACCTAGAAAGAGGCTGAGTAATTTGATGGAGATTTGTGCAGTGGGAGAGTAAACTTTCTTATTTGCTGTAGGTGCCAACCAAGCAAGCTCTCTGATTCATGAAGTGAAGGTGTTTTTTTTCTCTAAATGGTAAAGTCAATTAAGGTGACAGAGTGGTAACATCACCAGAGCAGTAATCCAATACCTCAGGCTAATGTTCTGTGGTAAAAACCGAAAGAACTGCGGATGTTGTAAATCAGGAACAAAAACAGAAGTTGCTGGAAAAGCTCAGCAGGTCTGGCAGCATCTGTGAAGAAAAAAATCATAGTTAACATTTCAGGTCCCAAAACATTAACTTTGATTTTTCTTCATGGATGCTGCTGGACCTGCTGAACTTTTCCAGCAATTTCTGTTTTTGATTGTAATGTTCTGGGATCTTGAGTTTGAATTTTGCAATGGTAGATGGTGAAATATGAATTCAATTCATAACTTCGGAATTACAAAACTAGTGTAGATATTTAGGTTTTGTTTTAGAATCAGACTGTTCAGTGATTTTATTGCATACCTCTAGGGCAGGTGGGACTTGAACCTGGGTCTCCAGGCTCTGAGGTAGGTACACTACTGCTCCAGCACAAGAGCTCCATATTCATAATTTGATCTGTAGATATTGTTCATCAACCAGTACAGGTATGTTATGATCCACCTCTGGAACAGGTGGTTGAAAGGGTATGGGTCAAAAGTAGGGACACTACCACTACACTACAAGAGACCCTACAAAGCTAGATTAATAGTGACATGATACCATCATTATTTAGGAACTAACCATTGTCTATTGTGGTAAAAACCTACCTGGTTCACTAATGTCCTTTAGGGAAGGAAATCTGCTGTCTTTACCTGGTGTGGCCTACATATGACTCCAGACCCACAGCAATGTGGTTGACTCATATAAGCCTGAACAAGCCAGCAGTAGGGGTGGCTCAGTGGTTAGCACTGCTGCCTCACCAAACCAGGGACTCACGTTCGATCCAGCCTGCGGCGACTGTCTGTGTGGATTTCGTCTCATTGTCCAAAGATGTGCAGGCTAGGTGGGTTGGCCGTGCTAAATTGCCCATAGTGTCCAGGGATGTGCAAATTAAGTGGGTTAGCCAAGGGGAATGCAGGGTTACAGGAATGGAGGTGGGTCTAGGAGGGATGCTGTTCAGAGGGTGGGACTCCAGAGGCCAAATAACCTGCCCCAACACCGTAGGGATCCTATAAACCACTCAGATCAAGGGACAGTTAGGGATGGGAAATTAAGTTGGTCCAGCCAGTGATTTCCCCTCTTCCGGTGAGGAGGGGAAAGTGTGGGGTATTCCATGTCAGTGGGTCCTGGACCAGAAAGCCAAGCTGTTTTGAACTTGCATTCAGCACAGATCCACCCCGGGGGGGTGGGGGTTCTTATGTTTGATATGTTGCTGCATCTTTTTAAAGCGGCAGCCTCCGTGTTTGGATTCAGCCGAAGTGAAGTGAAGTGATTGTCAGCGCCCGGAGGGAAAGATCATTTTAAAAAAGAGACCTGGAAACTATCCAAAGTACTTCTACAAATCTAGGCAGCTGTAAATAAATCCCTCCAGAAAGTTGGATTTATTTGACTTCAAACTTGCAAACTGACGACATAAGTACGTGGTTAATAAGGCTGATTGGGAGCGAGTTTTGTTTTTGTTTAGGTTCATTCTAAAATACAACTTGTCCTGTCCCTGCATTAACGCCAGCAGCACTTGATCTCAGGTGGTGGGCATTTATATCAAACTTAGGAAAGCAGCCTGGGTGATCTCCCAGTTCTAGTTTCCTTGTTTGCAAGGTTGACTTTTAATAATTGGAAGACCTGGTTAAGTAGAGCATTAAATAAAAGATGTTGCGGATCTCAGCAACTTAATTTTGTCCACACATAATGAGTGTCCCAGTGGAGAGCAAATACAATATTGCATTTGGAAGTGTGCAATGTGAGGAAGCTGGGACTGTTGCTAACTAGGTGAACATGAGTTAACCTCTCCCAATGGGTGACAATGTTCGCCGCCTCCTGTGTGCCTTGTCTCTCTCCTGCCAGTCAAGAGGAGGGTTGTAAACACAGGAATTTTTTTTTCTTCCCTAAACAAAACCATCTCTAAATTAGGTTTTGTCCCGACGTCACAGTTCGCTGAGAGTGGGCGACAGCGTCCTCTAGACGTAATGCTTGTTTCAGAAAGGAATCTGAAAAGAAAGCGAGAGTTTAAAAACTCCAAGGCGAGGAGCCAATTACTTTCCGACCCACAGTTAGTTCCCGGGGATTCTGACAGTCACCCGCATGTAACAGACTCTATCACAGCCTGCAGTCTTCTGTAAAGAACGATTTGGGAAGTGCTTTTCACATTTTTTTTTAAAAAACAGGGAGCTAAAGGAACACGTTTCATTGGAGGTTTGCAAAAAGTTTGTGTGTGTGCTTTTCCTGCTCAAGAACGCATTGGGATTTCATGAAAAGGACCTTTTTATATAAAAAAAATACTGAACAGCTGCTATTTGGAGTTCACCCAGTGGGAAAGATGCAGTGCAGTCGCTTCTGGATTTGTATGTCAGTCCTGGTGGTCTGGGGCAGCTTTGTGGTCCCCAGTGAGTCTCAAAGGAGTTTTAACAGCAGGTCTCCAGCTCTGAACGCCAACCTGACAGCGGGCACAGCAAGGTGGGGAAGCGGGACCGCAGCCCGGCTCAATCCCCTCTCACTGCGGCCAAGCGATGCTGCTTCCCCCCGGAGTGCCTCCGCTAGGATCCGTCGCCCCATCACGTCCCGGATTAGCGCCGTGTCGTCCCGGGAGAGCGCTCGGATACAGTACGGGGCGGCCCGGAGCCCGGTGTGGAACGGCCGGGGAGCAACTTCAAGCCAGGAGCAGGAGCCCGCTGCAGGCAAGGGCTCACCTGGACGGACCGCATTCTCTCCGGGATCCCTGAGAAGCAGGATCACGGCGAGTGGGTCCCAGCTGAGGAACCGGCAACTGAACAGACAGAGCCCGGGAAAGCGAACACCTCCCAGGAGGCTGATAGGGTGAGAATCTGGTGTAAATTTATGACCTGTTAATAACAATCAACATTATATATACAAAAAACTACTCTCTCAGACATAAATAACTTGTGCACAGTGCATTAAGCACATTGGATCTTCAGCGTTATGAATTAGTTCAAATAAGTCAGTGTTGCAATATAGACTTATGCGAAATAATTCAAGTTATTTATAGAGTCTTGAAAACTGCGTTTAATTTACATCCAGTTATGTCTGCAGCCTGTTTACCTTCAGATAGCATTAAACCTACTCTCGCTTGATATTGTTCTGAAATGTCTGCACCTACCCCCATAACATCCCCCCCCACCAATACCACGATCGATCCACGTTTTATTTTGAACCGAGCGTTAACAATCCCGCATTTACCGGTGAGGCGAAGGCACGGTGTCTCCACCTGTATTTATTTTTTTTCATCTAATGTCCCAGAGAGCCGACACTGGATACTCTAAACTTCCTCAGCCTCCAGGATGTCGACGGGACATGACTTTGGAATCAGTATTTCTCTCAATAACGTAAACAAATTTAGAATCAATTCCCTGGGCTGAATCCCCTCTCCCTGGAATTCTGACTGCACTGTGTCCTATCCACACCAGGAACTCTGATGGATCAGAACCTGGTTTGCTGCAGTTTAAGGGTTAAAAGAGTACCGCGTGTAGGAGAGCGCGATTCACATTATTAGTGCAGTTCTGAGGAAGGGTCACCGGACCCGAAACGTTATCTCTGATTTCTCCCCACACATGCTTCCAGACCCGCTGAGCTTTTCCGGTTTTTGTTGCACAAACACGGATAGATGCAAGTCTGGGGTCGCAACAACACAGTAAACGAGGCTTAGAGTCACAGAAACGGACCCTTCTGTCTAACTCGTCCATGCCGATCATGTTTCCCAAATTAAACTGGTCCCACTTGCCCTGTGTTTGGCCCATATCCCTCTAAACCTTTCCTATCCATGTACCTGTCCAAATGTCTTTTAAATGTTGTAACTGTATCTGCACCTACCACTTCGTCTGGCAGTTCATGTGTGAAAAAGTTGCCCCTCAGATCCCTTTTAAATCTTTCTCCTCTCACCTTAAAAATATGCCCCCTAGGTTTGAACTTGCCCCACCCTAGGGAAAAGACCTTTGCTATTCTCCTTATCTGTACCCCTCATAATTTACAGATCCATCAACTTTCTACACTTCGGTGAAAAAAAAAGTCCCAGCCTCCTTATAACTCAAATTCTTCCTGTGCGGGCAACATCCTGGTAAATCTTTTCTGAACCCTCGCCCATTCCCTGTTCGCTCAGTACACCCGGCTGGGAACTACACGGGAGATCCTAACTGAGGGCTGTGTGCACGCTAGTCGTTTGCACTCACTCTCCTCTGTGTTGTAGCTTGTGTTGCGGTGTCAAGTGGGAAGTGAAGTGATGGGAACGCCAATTGGGCATTTCTTTAGCGATTGCTGGGTAGGAATATCCATAGAGTATCATCGGAATGCACTTTTCCAACCTTGCAACACCGAGGCTTGCCTTCTGCTAGGTGTAGTCAGTCCCAAAGTTGTGCCGTTTCCAGTAAGACAGTAAACCTGGTGTGCCCGTCTATTTTGGGTGAAGTATCGGCGCGATATGACATCAACTGAACGATATCCCCCAGTCTTAACTGTTTTGGCTCCAGGGTAAAAAAGAAAGGAACCTCGCTTTACTGGGCATGCTTTAAAATGAAATCACAAACCCCAGTTTTAATGCCTTCATGCTCTTAAAAGAAACGACGGCGCCAACAGCCAAATTTGCGATGGGAGGGTGGGTGGTGGATGAACATTTTTGCTGGAAGAAAATGTAGTTTTAAGTCACAATTCGCCTTCTCCTCGTTTGGTCGATGACAGCTTTAGAAAACATTGAACAAGGTCAGGGGAAAGCGCAGTGGCCCACAGTAAGACTCATCCTAAATAAACAAAAGGGTGTGCGGTCTCGGGGGAATAAGCAACATTAAAAACGTGAAAGCACTTCGCCCGGGACATGTTCCCTATCGCTAGCGGTGGTTGAATGGGTTGTGATTTTGGGTGGTTTTGTAGCGTGGCGCTGTTAGCTCTCCCGTGTCTTCTGTGAGGTTTTGTTTGAGATCAAACAAGGGAGATCAGTTCAATCCCACAGAGATCACTTGAGCCTCGCAGTGTCTAGTTTCAAACGGGCCCTTGTTGCTTCTCGCAAAAATTGAAAAAAAAAACACAACAAACCGTTTTCCACAGGGAACGGACTGAATAATACATAACACAAGCAGAATATGTACCTCTTTTAAAATCGCAGAGTAGAAGTGCGTTCATTGACAAAGTTAGGCCAGTTACAATAATGAGACTTTGCGAAAGTGATTGCAGACCCATTGAAATGCCAGTACTTTGTCTCGTGTTGGGGGTGGGGGGTGGGTGGTGTTGGGGGGTGGGGTGCAAAACAGAAGTTAAATTTGCCCGGTTGAATCCAGTCTGTTGCAACGTTTATTTAAGTATTCCTACCATTTCCCTTTCGTTGAAAAGAGGTAAGTTGAATAATAATTTGTCATGTTCCATTCATAATGGGGCGATATTCTATTGGGGTGGTAGAGAAAACTAAATTGGGAGAATCTGAACAGTAGTGACCATAAAAATTACAGCAAAACCATAAGAGTGCTTTGACATTTTTCCAAAGATGTGATCCCTGGAATGTTGTTAAATATTTATGAATATTTCAGTGGGGTTGTGACTAATACTAATCTACACACGTTTTCAATCATCTATCCAATGGATCTTTAGAGACAATAGGGTGTTTAAATGAATTATTTTGGGGATTGTGTATGTAATGACAGGCAAGAGTGGAAAGAAAACAGACAGGAACTCTAATACGGAAAAATATGTAAAAGAAATCAACATTTCTACACTTTCCATCATAGAGCAACATTACAACAATAACAAACTTAAGTACAAGTTTGTAACAGGCATATATTTGAAGCAGATGTCAGCAATGACTGGAAGGCATTGGTGTATCAACAACGTGAGGCCAGTTAGAACTGCAGAAGGTTAACCACAGTATGCAATGCACTGGGTGTGTTATGATGGATTTGGTCTCTTGCAGTACCGTGGTTGACTATAACACAGCTAAGAGGCACATCAAAATAAAAATGTAAAGCAGGAAACATTGGCTTTTGGCACAAGGTCACAAATTGTATGATACTTTTATTTTTTTTTATTCAATAACTATGTTGGCATCACTGGTTAGGCCAGCATTTATTGCCCTTCCCTAATTGCCCTCAGAAATAGTGAGCTGACTCTTGAACTGTTGAAGCCCATAAGGGATAGGTAGACCTACAATACTGTAGAGGAGGAAGTTCCAGGATTCTGACACAGTGACACTGAAGGAACAGTGATACATTGCCAAGACAGGATGATGAGTGCCTTAGATGGGAACTTGCAGTGGTGTTCTTTTGCATCTGGTACCCCTAACCTTCTAGAATCATAGAATAGAATCCCTACAGTGTGGAAGCAGGCCATTCAGCCATCAGATTCACACCAACCCTCCAAAAAGTAAACCACCTAGACCCACTCTCTACCTTATCTTTGCATTGCCTACCGTAGTCACTAGGGGCAATTTACTATGGCCGATCCACCTAACTTGCACACTTTTGGACTGTGGGAGAAATCTGGAGCACCTGGAGGAAACCCACGCAGATATGGGGAGAATGTGCAAACTCCACACACAGTCACCCAAGGCTGGAATCAAACCCAGGTCCCTGGCGCTATGAGGAAGCTATGCTAACCACCAAGCCACCTTGTTACCCAATAGTGGGGCCCCCTTGTTCGGATCTTGCAGCATTCTAGATGGTAGAGGTCATGAGTTTGGAAGGATGCATCGAAGGAGCCCTGGTGAGTAGTTGCAGTGCATCTTGTAGGTGGTACATCCTGCTGCCACTCTGCATCAGTGGTAGAGGGAGTGAATGGTGTTAGATTACATGACAGTGAAGCAGGCTACTGGATAGTTATGAGCTACTTGAGTGTTGTTGGTGCCTGACTCATCCAGGCAAGCGGAGAGAATGCCAAAACACTCTTGACTTGCCCCTTGTACATGACAAACAAGCTTTGGGAAGACAGGTAGTGGGTTACTCACCATAGCATTTCAGGCTTCTGAACTGCTCTTGTAGCCAACAGTATTCATATACCTGGTCTATTTCAGTTTTTGCTCAATTGTAATGACCCCCTGTGGTCAATTCAGAGACGATAATGCCATTGAATGTAAGGGATGATGGTCAGATTCTGCCTTGTTGGGGATTGTCATTACCTGGTTTCTGTGTAACTTGCCAGTTATCAACCCAAACCTGAATGTTGTCCAGGTCTTGCAGCATTTGAACATAGACTGTTTTAGCGTCTGAGGAACACTGTGCAAACATCAGTTTAGCCTCCCCACTTCTGACCTCATGATGAAGGGGGAGCAATGATGACAAGACAGCAAGCTATCCTAGATCTAGTCCTGTGTAATAATTAATGATCTCACAGTTAGGGATCCTCTCGGAAGGAGCAATCACAGTATGGTCGAATTTAAAATACAGATGGAGTGTGAGAAGGTTAAATCCAGTACCAATGTCCTGTGCTTAAACAAGGCAGACTATGATGTGATGAGGGAGGAGTTAGGTAAGGTAAAATGAGAGCAAAAACTTTATGGTGGGTCAATTGAGGAACAGTGGAGGACTTTCAAAATGACTTTTCACAATGCTCAGCAGAAGTATATTCCAGTGATAAGGAAGAACTGTAGGAAAAGAAATAGTCAGCCATGGATGTCTAAGGAAATAAAGGAAAGTATCAGATTAAAAAAAAATACATACAACAAAGCAAAGATTAGTGGGAAACTAGTAGACTGGGAAATTTTTAAAGGCCAACAGAAAGCCACGAAAAACGTTATAAAGAAAAGTAAGATAGATTATGAGAGTAAACTAGCTCAAAATATAAAAACAGGCAGCAAAAGTTTATATAAATATGTAAATCGTAAAAGA